AACTGTCACATGCAGGGGTTAAACTGGCAGCTATCTTTTAATGCGACAAATAATTTGGACTTCTTAGCCACACCCTTCTCTCGGTTAACCACAGGAGGAAGTGATAATACACCACCAGAAGCCCCAGAGTTCTGGCTTTATCTGCTACGTGGCAGGTGAGAAGGGAAGAGGTGTGATTGAGCACGCTGGCTATTTACACCTTGTCTTCAAAGCCCTCTTAGTCACATTTCCATCTTCATGCACTGGCTTCCGCCTTACAACTGAACAATAGGAAACCACCACTCCTAAACCACCACTCCTAATTTTTTTAAAAAACACGTCCTGTTTTTTAAGTCTCTGGGAACTTTCCACGAGGTATAGTGGAGGGTTTCATAAGGATTTAGCTCTTCCTTCGAACCTGCTTAGCCAGTAAACCAGATATTTTTTAAAACACAGCATACAGATTCCAAATGATCAAGGACCACAAAGTGTTGGGGATGTCAGGGAGGAGGCAAGGATGGGCTTGAATGATCACAAAGAGCCAACCCGGAAATGTGCAGTAGAATAGTTTGCTAATGGTGACATCTGAGTTTCATCTCCCGGAATTATTGTTTCTTATTACTACACTTCGGGTCAAGGGGAAAGGGTGTTAAGGGTAAAAAGAGGAAGGAGAAAATAAAGAGAAAAATTCACACCTCCATGGAAACATAAGCAGAAAAACTATAGACTCTTGTGTCTCTGCTTGTTTTTTTAAGTACAGTGTTTTTAACAGACCAAAGAGAATCTCTATGAGTTAATATGTATGTGAATAATGTTTATAAAAGGGGTATAATGTGTTAGTCATTGTGGAATATTGTATAAATAAACCTTACATATATAGCATACATAAAAAATGATTGCTTAGGGCAGTGGACACTTAAGGACTTCCAAAATTTTCATATCTTCATCCCAAAAAATAGCGCGTTCCAGGGCTGGCAACTTATTTCCTTAGTATATTCCACTGTAAAGCCAAGAGGTGTAGGGGCTTGTTTTCTGGCTTTGTAATTTGTAATAATCTGTATGGATTACTGTAATATGTCTGTTGCATGTGTGTTGGTATTGTTTACCCATATGGAGTCATCAGGGATTTGTTCCACACTTTGTATCCTGGAAAACCAAAAGGAATTTTCATTTTTTTGAGACGGAGTCTCACTCTGTCGCCCAGGCTGGAGTGCAGTGGTGCCATCTCAGCTCACTGCAAGCTCTGACTCCCATATTCAAGCGATTATCCTGCTTCAGCCTCCCGAGTAGCTGGGATTACAGGCGCATGCCACCTCGCCCTGCTAATTTTTTGTGTTTTTAGTAGAGATGGGGTTTCACCGTGTTAGCCAGGATGGTCTCGATCTCCAGACCTTGTGATCTGCCCACTCGACCTCCCAAAATACTGGGATTACAGGTGTGAGCCCCCACGCCCGGTCTGGAATTTTCTAGTAAGAAGAAAAACATACAGAATGTGTCTTCACTGTTGGGTAACTCTCAAATTTGTAGCACTCTGAATTTTTTGTAAAACTGTGCTAATGGAATGTTTAATGTCAGAGTTATTGTGTCACTTCAATATCTAGTATTGGATAATGTTTCTCCTGGGAGCACAGATTTTTTTTTCAAATCCTTTTTTCCTGGACTTAACATGTTCTTCTAGAAGACATCAGAAGTCATGACCCTAAGCCACCTCCCTTCAGGACCACTTTCTACCATCGGTTTTCAAAAAACTATCCACATGTTAATTCTGTTTTATGTTCTGTGATTCTGTGGTCGACTCAGTGCTTCAGAGTCCAGAGATTGACTTGGGTTAGTGGCCCTAATGAAGTGCTAAATTTTCTCTTTACCGCCGAGACTGATCAGAAGAAGCAAAAGGGGAAAGGGGGCTAGAGGTCCACTCACACCTTTTACATCAGACGAGAGGACAACTGTGCCAGAAATCTGTGCATGAAACACCATCTGCTCTTCATGCAGGGAGGGGTCAACCGTGTGAACGTGTAGAGATTACTCGAGCCTCCTTTGCCAAAAACGTGCATTGTTCCCAGCTGTAAGTGTGTGAAGCCTAATACGTCTTTTAGCATGAAACAATAAAACGTTTATTTTCATTTAATAGGTTGTTCCTCCGGCCTGGATTTTCTTTTTTTTTTTTTTTTTTTTTCGGTACCTGGTTTGGAGAGGGCAACACTTTGTCATAAATTAAATGTCAACAGTGAGCATTTGATTTCTCCCAAAGGGGTTTAGCTCCCGGCAGCCGCTCTGGACATCCAAAAGGGAGGGTTAGGAGGAGAGGAAATCACTTTGTCGAATGGGAATTGCTTAGTTCCAGTGGAGGTAGGTGGAGAAACAGGCAAGTAACACTTCCTTTTAAAGCTGAGCAGGCTGAATTCACTTCTGTGGAGCAAACTCTGGTTTGTACAACCATGAGAGCCCTCTTGGCTGGAAGTCTTCTCTGCCTGATTAGTGCAAAGGTTAGGTGCACAGCCTCAAGTGCCTGATTTCCTGTGTTGCCAGCTGTTTAGCCTTCGGTGAGTTACTTAACCTCTCTGTGGCTCAGATCCCTTTTCTAGAAAATGGAGATATAATAGTACTTTTCTGAGGGATGTTAAGGATAAATTTCTTAAAACACGTAGAGTGATTTGAACAGTGCCTGGCACATATAAGTGCTTACTAATATTAGTATCTTACCATCTTCACAATGTTTACCATATCCATCTACCACCTGTGTTATTATTTACTTAAAATTCTTATTTTAATTGATTCAATTTTCTTTTTTGAGGTGGGGGCAACTTCATCTCTAGCATCAACTTTCATCTAGAATTTAATTTAAAGGAAAACTGTATGTTCCAATGGTAAATTAGTATAATTTGGCTGGGTGCAGTGGCTTACGCCTATAATCCTAGCACTTTTGGAGGCCAAGGCAGGTGGATGGCTTGAGCCCAGAAGTTCGAGACCAGCCTAGGCAACATGGCAAAACCCCGTCTGTACTAAAAACACAAAACTTAGCCAGGCGTGGGGGCACATGCCTATAATCCCAGCTACTCTGAGGCACAAGAATCACTTGAACCCAGGAGGTGGAGGTTGCAGTGAGCCAAGATCATGCCACTGCACTACAGCCTGGGTGACAGAGCAAGATTCAGTCTCAAAGGAAAAAAAAAAAAAAGGAAAATTAGTATAATTTGCCACAAATACAAAGTAGCCATAAAACAGTGATCACACATATTTACTGAGTCCATCCTACCTGCCAGGCAGTATGTTAAATGTCTTGATTTACAATCTTCATGCCCTATGAGGTCAGTACTATCACCATCCCACTTCCTGGATAAGGAAACTGAAACAGAGAGAGGTTAGCAAGTTTGCCTATGGTTGTATAATTAGTAAATAGAGGAGGCGTTTCAGGCTGCAGAACCCAGGTTCTTCGGCACTGTTTGGTGCTGCTGCCCTAACAAAAACATCTACCAAACATGGTAGATGGTCGCTTCCTAGGGCTGCTAAAATAAGTGATCACAAACTGGGTAGCTTAAAACAACAAAAACTTATTCTGTCTCGGTCTGGAGGCTAGAAGTCCAGTATCAAGATGTTGGCAGGGCCATGCTCCCTCCAAAATCTCTGAGGGAGGATTTTCCCTTGCCTCTTCCAACCTCTGGTAGCCCCAGGCATTCCTGGGCTTGTGGCAGCATCACTCCCATCTCTGCCTTTGTCTTCACATACGTGTCTTCCCTCTGTGTCTCTATCTTTGTGTCTTTTCCCCTCTTCTTGTAAGGACACCAGTCATACTGGATTAGGACCCACCCTAATGATCTCATTTTAAACTAGTTACAATGGCAAATACCCTATTTCCAGATAAAATCGTATTCACAGTTACCAGGGGTTAAGACTTCAACATATCTTTTGGTGGAGGAGTGGGAGGTGGGGAACACAATTCCACCTACAGCTGTTGCTACCTGAGGTTTTGAACCTGGGGCCTGAAGATGATTTGTTAAGTGTTACAGAGTTGTTCAAGATGGGCACCAACCTGAGACTTTCTCCTTGAAGCAATCAGACCTGAAGAGTTGGGACAAGGGAAAGACAATGGCTGATGTGTTTCAGTGACATTTCCAGCCAGTCCAGATGCTAACTAAAGTTAACCACCTCCTGCCCCATCCCTGATACTCTGAGGAAGGTGGCTTGACATAAGAAAGCCACATAACAACTCTTCCAGCTTCTCAGACATCTCTCATGAAAGGATGGCAGTTGGCCGGGCGCAGTAGCTCAAGCCTATAATCCCAGCACTTTGGGAGGCTGAGACGGGCGGATCACGAGGTCAGGAGATCGAGACCATCCTGGCCTACACGGTGAAACCCTGTCTCTACTAAAAAATACAAAAAACTAGCCAGGTGAGGTAGCGGGCGCCTGTAGTCCCAGCTACTCGGGAGGCTGAGGCAGGAGAACGGCGTAAACCCGGGAGGCGGAGCTTGCAGTGAGCTGAGATCCGGTCACTGCACTCCAGCCTGGGCGACAGAGCGAGACTCCGTCTCAAAAAGAAAAAAAAAAAAAAGGATGGCAGTAGAAATCTGAAGGGGAAAATGTTAGCTTCCAAAACTCCAGCAGGGGAGGGGAGGCACAAAACTCACCCCTAGGTTGGGCGTAATGGCTCACGTCTGTAATCCCAGCACTTTGAGAGACCGAGGAGGGTGGATCACCTGAAGTCAGGAGTTCAAGTCTAGCCTGGCCAACATGTTGAAACCCCGTCTCTACTTAAAATGCAAAAATTAGCCAGGTGTGTTGGTGCATGCCTGTAATCCCAGCTACTCAGGAGGCTGAGACAGGAGAATCGCTTGAAGGCGAGATGGTGCCACTGCACTCCAGCCTGGGTGACAGAGCCAAGACTCTGTCTCAGAAAATAAACAAACAAGAAAACTCACCTCTAGATCTGCTTTATATGGCTGGACTGGAATAGCAAATTCAGACAAATGATAAAGTCATCAACAGGGACATGTGTAGAGAAAGAAGAACAGTAGAGACAATAGGGGGAAAATCATTTATTTTTATACCATTTCAGTAAAAACTTAGGAAAAAGCAGTTGTTCTACTCAGAGGTTTGAAAGGAGGGTGTTGGGGAGTAAGGAAGAAGAGTTATCTCACTCTGTCAAACCAGGGTGTCCTTAGTCATTGGGACTGCACAGATTTCATAGACTTGGGAGGTCCTCATCTTGAGTTCGCGGGCCACCTGGCAGATGGAAAAAGGCCAACAGCAGTGCACCGCCAGCCAGTCTTCACACAGCGTGCCCTAGGGCAAGACCAGAGTCTGTTCTGTTGTAGTCACACAGGCTCATTTTTCTTCCCCAGGGACCTGTACAGTATTACCTCCTGGCCCTTCAACCACGACTTCAAAGGTTCACCAACATCCTTAAGCCAATGCCCAGGGACACTAAGTTGTATAAGTGCCAAGCAGCTGAATTGCTAATCAATACCTGCGATTCAGAGCCCTGCCCTTAGGACCTCTGATATGGGCCTTTATAATTGAAACCACTGATTTCTCTATCAACTTCTTGGTTCTTTCTCTTAGGACCTAATATGTATAATTATTTATTTCTTTGGAGGAGGTAATAAGTGCACATGGCCTAAAATTTCAGTGTAAGAAGGGACAGGAAGTAAAAAGTAAATCCCTCTCTCCAGCTGTCCCCAGCCATCCAGTTGCCTGCCTGGAAGTAATCATTGTTACCAGTGTCTCGTAACCACTTCCAGATAAATTCTATGTCTACAGAAACATACACATATAAAGTCTTTTTAAATAGTTCCATACTTCTGTGCTTTACTTTTTTTTTTTCCACTTAAAAATGTATCAGTCTGGGCCAGGCATGGTGGTTCACACCTGTAATCCCAGCACTTTGGGAGGCCGAAGGGGGCGGATCACTTGAGACTTTGAGAACAGCCTGGCCAACGTGGCAAAACCCCATCTCTACTAAAATAATATGGTATTTTAATTAACTTATACTTCCTGGTAAAGAATAAAATTTTTAAATGTATTTCCTTTCTCAAAGTTTCCCACTAAGGCATGGTATGTTTCGACATCCTCACCCACCCTTTTTTTTATTTGAACAGTCACAGGTTTGGAAGGCATCTAGGTTTTCATACAGATTCAGGTTCACTTATACCTTCAGACACACTTACCTGTATTTTATGTCTCTCTCTGGTGCCAATTCTCAGTGCAAAGGTGGACCCAGGTAACAACGGCCAACAAAGACACTCTCCATAATGCCTGGCGATGTCACACTCAAGACACATAGGACAGAATAGACCACAGAAACCTGTCAATAACCACATCCAAAAAAGTCAAGGTTCTCAGATTTCTTGGAGCAACTTCACATCTCAAAGAATATTTACAACTTTATGCCACCAGTTTAATGCTGCACTGTCTCCCTACTATCAGACACTGAGAATAAATAACCAATTCCCAAAACTCATTGTATGAAAACTGCCATAACTGAGCCACATCAAAATTGCCTTCTTTTGTTAAACCTGATACAATTCTGTTAGCATTGACTATGGTAATTGTTTTGTTCCTGTTAAGAGAAAAAGCATCAAATAATTTTTTTACAGTTGAATCATAACTGTTGCTTCCATTATGTTCATCTATCTAATTTCAATATTTAAAATAAACACGGTATACTCTTGAATAACAGACATCTATTTCTATAAGTGTAACTGAAAGGTCTTTTTATAGTACACTGACTCTGCCTCCTATTCTTATCAGGGCTTTATTCTATTTCTCAGACCAAGTTATTCAAATTTATGTTAGTGTCTTGGAGTCACTGACATCTGCCAGTTTCAATCTGCAAACTATTAGGGGCTTGTTTCCTTGAACATCGACCGGAAACAATTTGTCATTTATTAGTTCACTCATCTTTACTGATATTGTTTTCTACACATTCTGCGTGAACCTTCCAACGCAGGGGTTCTATTCTAAATATGTTTTGGGTCACAGACCATTTTGAGAGTACAATGATAGCTATGAACTCAGTCCACAAGGGAAAAGAAAACTACACGCACATAGACATGCAAAATTGTGCATTCAATTTCACGGAGTTCATGGATTCATTGAAAATTATTAACAGACCACAGGTTAAAAACCCCTGATATACAGTTAAGATGTTATGTCACCTAGCATTGTAAAAGATGACAACTCTGATGAATGCAAATAATTAGGACTGTGAAACCTCAAAAATTCCAAGCTAACCATAATCTCTAAAAATTTTTTAAATAAATATTTTATGGAGTCATAATTTTTATATAAGAAAATGCACAGGCCATACGTGTTCAGTTGGATGAGCATCAACAATCACATATACCCAAGTAACCAAACGTATGGAACATTGCTCTCACCCCAGAGCTCCTGTGTCCCTTTCCAATCAATCCCAACCCTCCCGTTGCCCACTAGAGGCAACCATTGTTCCAATATCTATTCTTATGGATGAGTTTTGCCTCTTCTTGGACTTCACATAAATGAAATCATGTTTGCTTTTGTATCTGACTTCTTTCGTTCAACATCATGTTTTTGATGCATCTATGCTATTGTGTGAATGTCTCTTTTTTTAGAGTTGAGTCATATTCCATTGTATCAATATTCCACAAATTGTTTCTCCATTCTCCCATTGATAAACATTTGATTATTTCATTTTTTGCTATTATTAATAAGACTGCTATGAAGACTCATCTGTAAGTGTTTACACAGGCGTATGTTTTTTTTTCATTTGGGTGGATTCCTGGAAGGGGAATTGCTAGGTTATGGGGTAGATATATGTTTAACTTTACAAGAAATGACAGACAGTTCTCCAAAATATTTGTACCATTTTAGACTCCCATCAGCAATGCATGAGAGTTCTGTTTTGTTTATTTATTTATTTATTTATTGATTGATTGATTGATTGATTGATTTTGAGGCAGGGTGTCACTCTATCACCCAGGCTGGGGTGCAGTGGCACGATCATGGCTCACTGCAGCCTCAGCCTCCCAGGCTCAAGCGATCCTCTCATCGTCTCATCCCAGCCTCCTGAGTAATTGGGACTACAGGCATGCACCACCACATCCAGTGTATTGGTCTGTTCTCGCATTGCTATAAAGAAATACCTGAGAATGGGTACGTTACGAAGAAAGGAGGTTTCATTGCCTTACGGTTTCTCAAGCTGTACAGGAAGCATAGCAGCTTCTGCTTCTGGGGAGGCCTCAGGAAACTTACAAACATGGCAGAAGGCTAAGGAGAAGCAGGCATGTCTTACATGGCCAGGGAAAGAGGAAGAGAGCAAAGGGAGAGGTGCTACACATTTTTAAACAACCAGATCTCATAAGAACGTACTCACTATACGGTACCAATGGGGGACGGATCCAACTGTGATTGGATCACAGGGGCAGCTTCTAATGGTTTGGCACCATCCCCCCTTGGTACCATGTAGTAATCTCAGGCCCCATCTCCAACATGGGGGATGACAATCCTATGAGATTTGGTGGGGACACAGATCCAAACCATATCACCTGGCTAACCTTTTTTCTTATTTTTTGTAGAGATGGTGTCTCCGTATGTTGCCTGAACTCCTGGGCTCAAGCAATCCTCCCATTTTGGCTTCCCAAAGTACTGGGATTACAAGCATGAACCACCACTCCTGGCCAAGAGTTCTAATTGCTCCACATCCTCACCAACATTTGCTATTGTCAGTCATTTTTATTTTAGCTACTCTAGTGGGTGTGAAGTAGTCACCATTGTCTTTTAGTGCACCAGACGCAAAGGCTCACATACCATGACACCAGCACACTGAAGAGCTTCCTGACAATGGCCTGCCTCTGGCTACCCCTTGTTCTCCCACAGTGAGCACTTCAAAGTCCCACTCCCAAATTCAGTGACAAAGAGGCAAAAAGCTAGGAATTCTGTATCGTAGACTCTCCAAGCCTCCAGGACTCTGAACTTCAACTTCGAATAGTGGATGAAGTAGCACAAGCATACAAAGGGCATGAGGGATGGGGGCAGGGAAGGAAGCAGCCTGCCTTTAAAGATCAGAACGTCTATTTCATCTATTTGGGCGTCTCAAGAGAGTCACTAAATCATCCACTGTAGACATCTCTTGGCCCAAAGCAAACTCTGAATTCAGTCTCAAATAAGACTGGGATACTTCACCCTACATTTAAAAAGTAATCTCAGGTAGATCACCAGGTCCCACCCAGCCTGGATACTTGTATGAACAGCTTAGAGGACAGCAAATGGTCCAGTAAATTTACTGAGAGTACAGAGTACTCACGCTGTATGCAACCTTGAATTAGGGGATTTTGAAATCAATGGCACATAAAAATCAATTGACTCTCACTTTATGTGTGGATTACAAAATAGTGTAAATCCCTGTAAATAAAAAAAATTAATCAAAACATGCTTAATTGTAAAGCTGGCAAACTAAGTGACTAATAAATAGTGTTTACACGATTGCCTCAGCTGCACCACTTTAACTGGCAAAGAGAAGTGCCCACCATTCTCAGTAAGTATTTTGTACAGAAATTGTTTAAGTGCATTTGAACTCTTGCACCATATTTTTATGACTCATATGCTTTTTTAAAAAAACATGCTTTTGTTTTTAGTTTTAATCTTTTTTGTCATATAATCATGTTATCTAAGTGTTCATTAGGGGGTAGTACTAGATGCTGAAAGAAACATACCTCAAATTCAATTACTGTACTTTGAAGCAGAAATCAGATGTGATTTTAAAAAAACACTATGAAGGACAAATTTTTATTATATAATAGCTAATATTTATACAGAGTTCACTATGTACCAAGCCCTGTTAAAATCACTCTGCACATATTAACTCATTTAATCTTTGCAACAATCCTACAGGTACTCTTCAATCCTACAGGTACTCTTCTTATCCCCATTTTACAGATGAGGATACTGAGGCCCAGAAGATTTAAGTAATTTGTCCAAATTCACACAATTTGAAAGGCAGAGGTGTGATTTAACTCAGGTAGTCTGGTTCCAAAGTCTGAACTACTATACATATTGCCTTATGTTCTCATGTTTTATGTATGTATCTATTATGCCACAGTGGTTGTGGATTGGTGTGCTAGACAGTATCCTATCACTACTTTACATTTATTCCTGTGGGGTAGTCTTAAGTCAGGCAACTTCTTTTTTTTGAGATGAAGTCTTCCTCTGTCGTCCAGGCTGGAGTTCAATGGCACAATCTCGGCTCACTGCAACTTCCACCTCCTGGGTTCAAGCAATTCTCCTGCCACAGTCTCCCAAGTAGCTGGGAATACAGGTGCCCGCCACCATGCCCGGCTAATTTTTTATGTTTAGTAGAGACAGGGTTTCGCCACGTTGGCCAGGCTGGTCGCAAACTCCCGACCTCAGGTGATCCGCCCACTTCAGCCTCCTGAAGTGCCGGGATTACAGGCTGAGCCACAGCACCTGGCCTCAACTTCTTTAAGAAAGATCCTTTCATCAAGTGTTGCTACTCTGTACTGTGAGGAATGCAGTGGGATATGGACACACTGTCAGGTCACACCCCAAGAAGGGATGCACAAAATCAAGATGATGGGATCCTTTGTTCTAAAGACTCTCTAGGAAAAGACTTTGCAACACATATCACAGGCCAAGGATAAGTATCTAGAATATATAAAGAACTCTTGGCCAGACGCAGTGGTTCACGCCTGTAATTCTAACACTTTGAGAGGCCGAGGTGGGTGGATCATTTGAGGTCAGGAGTTCGAGACCAGCCTGGCCAACATGGTGAAACCCCATCCCTACGAAAAATACAAAAATTAGCCAGGCAGTAGTGGCGTGCGCCTGTAATCCCAGCTACTCGGGAGGCTGAGGCAGAAGACTCCCTTGAGCTTGAGAGGTGGAGGTTGCCATGAGCCAAGATCGGGCCACTGCACTCCAGTCTGGGCAAGAGAATGAGACCCTGTCTCAAAAAAGAAGCAAAAAAAAAACCTACTTCTGCACATCACCATATAGAAGATTAAACAAAAGAAGAAAATGGGCATAGGACATGGATAGGTAACTCACTGAAAAGCAAATACAAATGGCCAATAATGAAGGCAAAAGGTTGCTCAATGTCATTGGAAATGAATACTAAGACATCCAGAAACCACTTATTTTCCATGATAATGCCAATTTTAAAAAATTTGTCAGGCCGGGGGCAGTAACTCACGCCTGTAATCCCAGTACTTTGGGTGCCCAAGGAGGGCAGATCACCTGAGGTCAGGAGTTCAAGACCAGCCTGCCCAACATGGCAAAACCCTGTCTCTACTAAAAATACAAAAAATT